CCATCAATTATGATTTTTCTTTATGGGCTTTGTAGTTATTACTTTTGACATGTTGCAGACGATATCACTTGCATAGATTACGCTGGCAACACAAAGGATCAGTTCAACGCACAAAGGCGTGCTGCTTATCAAAAGAAAAAGGACCAGGATAATGTGTTGTTGCAAAAGGTTCATCAGCCCTCCTTGACAAATTCTGGTAATTTTTTTAACGCCAGTTAGCTAACTAATCTTTGCGGCATATAAATTGTTAAGCTGGTTTCTTATATGTGGTAAGAATGTGATCTAGGTGAGTTGTAAATATAACCTTAATACATGCTATGGCTTTTTTCATTCACTAACTCTCATAAGTTTGATTCATCTTGTAGATCATAGGGAACTTAACAACGCGTGGAGGCGGGCATCTTATCGCATTAGCAAGTCAGAGGGTTTGAAAAAACATCAAGACGATAGGCACATTGTTCAACGTCGTACCCTAGGTGATATCACGAATGTTCGTCAACCTGCTAATGCGATACCAGGTACATCAAGTACTCTTGGTATATCAAAGAGCAAGGTCAGCGTCCCCTTGGTATATCAAGTAAGAATACTGACCACGCAAGTTGAATCAGGTGAGGTCACCCGCTAAAAACGGAAGAAGATCGCAAAAGAGACCATAGAAATGCCCTGAGGAGAGCTTCTTATCGGCGGAAGAAAGATCGGGATCACCAAGAAGTTAAACTCCGGGACCTTAATTTATCTGGTAAGATTTAAATGATCTAACAATAATATTTAGTACCTTCAATTCATGTCTTAACCATTGAGTGTTGAGTATGTTTTATAAACCATGTTTAACCAGACAACCCGACTAGCTCCGACTATACAACATTGTCCCATAATGATTCAGCATTCACTACTACACCTACAGTCTCATCTGGTCTGGTTAATGACAATGATCAACAAGGTAATCAACTTGTGCGTAAGATGTCACGAATTGAGGTCAGATTATGTTTTACTCTCTACATTATTTGTATGCCCTGAATGACACCAGGAGGTCGCATCAATGTCCTTGAAGAAATAAATCAAATAACCGATGAAGAGCGCAAGAGAGATCATAGGAATGCACTGAGGAGAGCTTCTTATCGGAGGAAAAAGGATCAGATAAAAGGAGATGAAAATGTGCAACCACTATCTACATCAGGTAAAATATTACCTTTAGTATCACGTTGACGTACAAAGATTTGTTAAGACAAACCAACATATTCTTTTAGCGACCACTAGGCGCGAAGCATACCGTCAAGTCATATGATCTTAATGCACATGATTTGTATTTGAGTAGATAGTGAATGTTCTAATATTCATTAGTCCCTAAATCAGATTCTTGTAATGATGTTTTCACAACTTTTTTCATAAATTCACCTCTGATGATGGCACAAACTATACAGACTTCTTGCACAACGAAGCAACATTACCCCCTTCATCATTAGACGCGTCTGGTGTTACGCATGACAATGACTGATCTAAGAGGGAGCAGAGAAACTCACGTAGCCGAGCATGTTATCAGAAGAAAAAGGATGAACTAACAGTTGACGACACAGAAGATCTGAATGAAAAGATACGAGGGAAGCGCGTGCAACGCTGCAAAAGCATGTCGGTGATTGAGAAGGGGCAGTCAAGTGCAGAAAGGAAGGCCAGCTATGCTAAAAGGAAAAAACACCCCGTGCAAAGAATCCCTTGCTCTTCCACGTCCAGACCTAGCAAACTTAACCTCTGAATGCCCCGCATCCAAATGCCGCGGAATAACCCTCAGGTTGGGCGCCGAAGATGATTCATCGGATGTCGACCCTCTGCCAGTCATGCCGAATTACGGTGTTGGCACCAATGGTATGAAAATGCTTTTGTCCGGTATTTATGCTCAGTCTCATCAACCCTTTTCTGACATGATGTTGTCTATTGTCACATTCACCACAACTATAATGAAGACGACATCGATGTGTTCCGAGACCCCATCATGGGCGATGAACCGACACCATCCGACTTGATGGATGAGGAGTTCTACATGTTTCGCGATCAAGGTATGGTCAACTCGGAACTTGGAAGTCGTGGAGCTTTATTGTAATTATAGTTATTTGTGAATATTGTTTTGAACATCATGTCCCAACAAATGCTAATAGGATCCGATAATGACACAATTGAGGATGACGATGAAACGAGCATGTCGTCTGCTATACCTAGCGAAGTTGATCCATTAGACTTTGTCTACACAAACATCCCAGACAGCACTCACATCCTGAAGCTCGACGAAAACTACAAACACTGCAAGGCCAAAAAGTTTGTGTCTGAGACTGATGGGTTCTGCTGTCGCAATGGACAGATCGAACTTAAACAACTGGAACCAGTCCCAGAGCTGATGAGGCTATGGTCCAGCATGGATGCAGATTCTAGACATTTTCGGGAGAACATACGGTTCTTCAACGGGCATTTCGCCTTCACAACCCTTGGCGTCAGCCTTGATGAGAACTACACAAACATGAAGTCTGGGGTGTACACATTTCGGTCACACGGCACCATCTACCACAATGTGCACTCGTTCGGCCCAAGCTCCCGCCCAGAACATCTGCAGTTATACTTCTATGATGACGACCCAACCATAACTCATCGTAAGGCAGCCACCAAGCAATTAGACCAGGATGTCGTGAAGAAGTTAGTAGACATACTCAAAGAAAACCCGTACTCCCAGCAATTTAGGAGTTTGGGTGCACACAAGGACAACCTCAATGATTATAGGATAGACCTAAACACCGATAAGAGGCTTGACCAAAGAAGATATAATAGACTGTTGTCATCAGAGGTCGCTGCAATTTGGGTTGAGGGCAACGACCTAGCAAAAAGGTTTGACCGGAAGATAACACTTTGTGGTAACAACAATGAAAGGGACAGTATACGTGTGACCTCCGGGGCATATGACCTGTTGTCTTATCCCCTATTCTATCCAAGGGGGGAACTAGGTTGGCATCCGAAGCTACCTAAACGTAATGTTCCTTGGGAGGTTGTACTACATCCTCAACTGGTCCATGATGATGAGGAGGATGCAGGTATGACTTATGCGTCCCATTTTGTTTCAAATAATATAATATTTCTCGAATATATCCTCATTCTGATGGTAGTC